GTGACAATATAACAATAATAATATATTATTCAAAACAAAAAAGCCTATTACAATAAATTTAGTAGTAATTTTTCACAGAAAGCCGTTTCAATTATTGATAAATTATTCATCGATACTTGTCATAAAATATCATTAGCCATCTCTAGTTTGCGTACGATAGAATTGCCGTAAGTGAGAGGGTATCGATCGAGAGCGACAGCGGAAGGTCACGTGGACAGAGATGCAGGTTTCTTAACCGCGCCAAGTGACGCCACATCTTCGCATTTCGTGCGAAATTGGTGACTACGCGAGAAGCCAAAGCCGTCTCTTCCTCTCGGTTCTCATGAGCACTTCACCCGCCAGACAATAGTTTACCGTATCGACCTATTCCCCACTCCTCCTCCTCCACCGCCACGACCCTGCCGTGCTTGTTCACATCTACCTCCTCGTGCCACTCCGCTCAGCCAACCACGAACTTGCTTCTTCTGGTCTTCCCTTCGTGCCTTCCCACGAATTCAACTTGCTTCTGTGTATCCTGAACTCCGAGGCTTCCGAGTTCAGTTAGGAAAGGTCGCGAGCTGATCTCGAGAAACTCTTTTCTCGTCAATCTCATCCGAGACGATCGCGATGTCCAATGCATTTAACGATGCAAAGTGTATAAATAGATATATCAATAATGTCAATTTTATTTTTATATAATCTGCAATTCTAGCTAAGATTTGATACTGGTTGGAGGAAAGAAATAAACTTTACAATCTATACTGTTCTCAAGTAATAACTGTAGCGAATTTAATTAAAGTACAGATAACATTTATTATATTTATCGTTATTACAATTCCATCATAGTTCTTATAATTCTTTTATGCTATTATTACAATTTTATGTAACATCTGTTTCTCGAGCATATCAAACAATGTTGTTCCGTCTCGAGAGTCGCTCGCACATTTTGCCAGCGCGCGGTTGGTAGTTTCCGAAGGTCGAGATTTGTTCCAAAGTTTGTATGAATGAAACTTATCCTAATATCTCTGAACGGCATGCGGCTTTCTTCGGCTATTCCGCTGGATAGGGTAGCGACCACGAGAGGCGGCTACAGGCGCAGCGTGTTGGCGAGAGAGGAGCACGTGCGAGAAAGAGAGAGAGAGAGAGAAAGAAAGAGCGGCCGGCGCTGTCCGCGACGCGCGGGATCGCTCGCTCGAGCAGGGTCACTGGAACATGCTTGTGTGTACGAACTGTCTGCAACTGTCATTTACCTCGCAGCACACCACGTGTGTGTGTGCCGGGGAGATATTCCTGCCCGTTTCATCTCCGTGTGCGAAAAAATGCGGCGAACGAGGACGGATGATGAACCGGGAAACTTTTCGCCGCAGAGGTTTTCGCGCGAAGATATTTATCGGCGACGTGGAACCACGTGAACGCGGAGAGAGCCGGCGTGATCTCTCGATTCGAAATCACGTCAAACTTTGTCCTCTCGACCCGACGTCGAGGAGATTGGCTACTTGATACATGTGTATGTGTGTGTGTGTGTGTGTGTGTGTGTGTGTGTCAAATTCATATCATATTAAAATAATCGTGTGCGCGAACCGATTCTAAGTAAAGCTGGAGTTAAATTGCGAATTGTCGCATACCGATTAAGTTTGCAATAAAGTTATAATATTAGGAGATAATTCGCAACGAAGGAAAGTATCGCATTAGGAATAGTATGATCATCGTGTAACTGTAATCCGAACTTCCGTATTTTTTTTCCACAAAAGTGAATAAAGTTTGAATTCGGAAATCGCGGATCGATAATGTTTATTGGGAAAAGTAGGTTTAAATCTAGTTAACTCGGCTAAGGACTTAGTCTTTTGCGGCAAACTGTCAGTTATATATATAACGAAAAAGAGAAAAAACTGCATTAATTTATTTAGGGAGCCATACTAATCGTTTTCATTATTTTTTAATGTTATTTACTTAAAAGTAAAGATCATTTTGTATATTTTTCTGATAAATAACTGATAAATTATAAAAGATATTAAGTTGTTGCAAACTCTAATGAGGAAAATTCTTTCCTCCAAATTTTCCAAGCAGGTAGATCGGTATATAATCTTCTGTAGCACCGTGTTTCTATGCTGACAACTCGCGGAAAGAGCGAGACACAACATAATGGTGCAGCAGTAGTTGCCTCGACGCAAACTCACACACACGTTTAGAAAAGAGGACGCATTTCCTCTCGTATATGGCAGTTTCTGCATATTTTTCGATCATTTTACTCGAACTACCATGCGGACTAAATTTTTCAGTAGGATCTGCAACATTGAATTTTCGCAATATTACATGAAAATACCGAGTATGTCGTCATTTGAATCCGACTTTTTTTTTTGTAACGATATATATTTATTTATTTAAATATAAAATAAAAAGCCATCTCACGAAGCAAATTAAATGAGTAATCTAAAGAATCTTTTCTCGAGAAAAATTCTAAATGATATTTGAAAAATATTCTACATTTTCTCATCAGTATAGAAAACTCTAAATTAATTTGATTGTCTTTATAAAATACGTGTGCCATGTGACTGCGCTACATGCGATATTTAAATCTCTTCGTATTAATAATAGAGTTGTTACACTTTTTAACTTCCTACATTCTCGAAATATAAGAAAATATTTCCTAGTAAGACAATTTTAAATGCGTTCAGGAAGCATGACCTTGCGACCTGAAATTTCGATGATTAGCATTGCATCATTGTTTGACATAAGGACATGCCGTCTGCTGTAACCTCCGTGACCAGTCGACCCCCGTTGTCGACGTTCCTGGGATAGGAGGTAGGTAGATAGGTAGGAAACGAGAGTGCGAGAACGAGTAGAAACGCGGAGAGGAATCGCATAGAGGAGGAGGAGGAGGAGGAGGAGGAGGAGGAGAGCGGGCAAGGCCGGGGGTGAACCCCTTATTGATTTTTAGGGTGACACTGTCAACTGGCGGCGAGTGTCGAGTCCCCCGCGACGGGCGACTTTGAAACGACAGCGAACGAGGAGAGAAAAAAAAAAAAAAAATGCGCCGGACGGCGACGCGAGTTCGCGTAAAATCTTTCAATCCTCGTGGCTGACAGACATAACGAACGTCCCGTTGACGCCAGGCCGTCGATCAGGATCTCGTGCCGTCGATGACGACGACGCTTTGTAAGATCGGTCAAGCTTAGTTGATACGCGCACCGGGCGAGGCTGTGCGACGTTTTTTCGCCGTGCGTCGCCGACGGTGGTGGCGGTGGCGGCGGCGGTGGCGACGGCGACGCCGACGCCGTCGGGATAAAGGGGAACCGCGGCGCAGTCCCGTTGCGGTCGGGGGTGCAGCCTTCTCTCGGCGCGCAGGGCCGTACGCGTTCGTGGGAGATGCTCCACGTGGGGAGCGTGCTCTCGGCCGTTTCTCGTAATCGCACGCACGTTCGTCTTTGACATCCTTGTCGCGGCGGGCGGGTACATATCTACACTCTATTTAACGTGGGCGGGTTGGCACCTTGGAAACGTGAGGGGAACGCCGAGGGAGCGAGAGACGACGGCAAATCCCCGTAGTAGTGAGCGTCGTTGCCCTCTCTCTATCTCTACCGCGCTATCTCTTTCTTTCTCCCTTTTTATAGACTTTTTTCTTTTGTTCCCACCCCACGTTTTTTCGCTCTCCCGGCTCCGAGATAGGCGTTGGGCTGGCAGACGCGAGTGACGTACGAGTTGCATGGAAACGTGGCTTCTCGGATCCAACGTGCTCGCGGTTCGCGATCGTATCCGAAAATACGCGTTGTGATCGGGAGGAAGCACGAACTTTTACTTGGATCGACACGCGTGGGATTGTAATAACGAGACGTTGGAATAATCTTACGCGCTGCGTCCTCAAAGTGAAGTGCGTGAAGAGAGAGAGAGAATCGCTCTTCTTTAAAAACGTAAATTAAATAAACGTAAATTATATATAGCAAATCACTCATTTTCATGGCAAGATACTCGAGAAATATTCATTGTATTCGCTAATAACATTCTCATGCCGTTTGCGAATTTGGACGCGTAACAATCGCTGTCACGCGTATACACACGGCGTCGCTCGCATGCAACAGGCGACACCGCGTTGCCAAAGTTTCCTCTTGTTTAATCGATCGGAAATTACCACGTCCAACTAATACAACCGTATCGCAAATTCGAAATTAATCGCGTCAACTTCGCGCAACGAGCACGATCAATCATCGCGTCGCCGCCCTTCTTTCGAAAAATAATTATTAATTAAGCAAGGCGGTAAAGAAACGAAACACTTATCGCGAGGCAACGACGCCGGGATAGAGGAGCGACCGCCCCGTCGAGGGGATATTAGCCGTGAAATTACGCCAAGTGCGGCGCACGCGAGTCACAATCGATACCGGCGTGACGCGTAGCGGACGACATCGACGACCGTCGACGATTTGACGAGAGTGCGGAAAAAAAGCGCGGACGCGGTTGCGTTTTCGCGACGATAATCGCGCGTCGCGATCGTGATCGCTGGCGGGAGAGTGAGGTGGAGGGGAAGGGGTGGGAGGGGGACGACACGCACGTCGGCGCGACGCCTGGCGGTGACGTGAGCCGGCGCGGCGCGAAGCGAAGAGGCGCCATTCGCGCGAGACCGGCGGCGAGGTGGTCGCGCGAAACAACAAACCACGCGGCGGAGAGTAGGGTAATCGACGACGGGAGAAGGGGTGGAAAGAACGGACGTTTCTCCTCGGGGGAAGAAGGCGCCGAGTGGAATAGCAATTATCGTATGCGACCGAGAAAGAAATCCAGTTGACACTCGGGCGTGTGAGTGGCGAGAAGCGAGGAACGGTGACTCTCTCGGATCGACGGAAGAAGGGAGGGAGAGAGAGAAAGAGAACGGCGGAAAAGGAGGGCGGAACACGTGGTTCGCGAGGGAGAAGCCAGGGGCGAGGTGCGTGCGTGGTTTAGTTACGCTCCTGGCGCACGTGCGTACGTGCATTTCCCCCCCCCACCCCCGCACCCCCACCCCCTCACCACTCGAGTGTCGCCGTGATGACGTGTGAATGACGGAAATCGGTGAGTGTTTACGAATAATGGTTGTCAACGTGGTAAAGTGAATTTTATCGCGATTGTGACGTCGCGATTCAACGTCTCTCGAATCTCGTACAAAGATATCTCTCTAGTGACGCGCCGGTTCGGTGATTCCTTCCGAGAATCTAGTGAGAATTTTTGGTGCGTCTTTCACGAACTCTGCGAAGTTGATCGAATATATATTCGCGTGAATGTCGTCATGGCGTTTGGCGCCATCTTACAAGTTACATTCCTGGCCGCAAAGTTCGTCTGTTGACTCCGGTGGTGTTTATTCGCGCTCGGTCCGATTCGCTTTCTCTCTCTCTCTCTCCCTTTCTCTCTCGCACGTACGTACAACGCCGGCGTTTGCTCCCTCCTTCTCGCTCTATCGGACGAAAGAAAGAGAGAGAGAGAGAGAGAGAGCGAGAGCGGGAGAGCGCGTGCGCGCGCGGGCGGGCGCACTCGCGGGGTCGCTTGTGTTTGGAACGTCGTGAACTTTTCTGCAATGTGACGACGCGGGGGATGAATGGTTATTAGCGTCATGTCGCAGCAGTGCACGCGTCTTGGAGCGAATGCGCGATCGAAGCGCGAACGAGCGCCGGCCGAGGCGTCCTAAGTCGGCGACACGCGCGTCAACGGATCGACGAACGTTGGAAAAATGCCGGCGACGCGACCGCCGCGCGACAGGCCCTTGTTGTTGTTGCTATCGCTATCGCTATACCGAGACGGATTCGCGACCGTGCGCGGTGGTGTGTCGCGACCAACGAACGACGTCGCCACGGACTCGTGAAGGGTGCCCGGACGTTGGTGTGCCTTCGCCGCGAGCCGGCTGGACGTCGCGCGTCGTCTCGCTCACTGCGTCTAGGTTAGGTGTACCGGCACATAACCTTAAAGCTCGAGCTGGTACCAGAGGACCAGAGCATCGCGCGTTGCTATCCGCGGGATTATTGTTCGTGGGAAACGATCGAAACGAGTTCGTACATCGTCGACTGAGTTACGTATTGGTTATCTACGCATTGGGTGATCGGTGAGATGGAATGAACTGGGTGACCACGGGACAATGAAGGCCAATGGGACAAACAATGGTGATTTTCTCGTACACATTCTCGTTTATGTCTGCAATTGTGATGCTGTATCATCGAATTCATGACTTTAGTCTGTATGAAAGAAATTGTACTCTGCGATTGTACTTGCGTATTACATTGTTATTTAGATAGAATGTGTATCCTTCGATGCAGCATAATTGTCAACGAACATATGAAATACAAGTCTTTATGTAGTACGCAAGGTTTATGTGTGTGACAGTTTATACTAGTTGCTTTTAATTATCTTTTTAGTTATAAATATGATACAAATAAGATTGTTGGAAGCATCAGTGGGTCATTAACCGTAAATGCAGTAACCAATTTGTATCCTTACGTTAAAACAGTAGTCAACTTTATTTATCAATGCTATCGCTAACATGTATTTCAATCACTTTATATAAATCATATACAATATAATCATATTATATATACTGCGACTGAATATACTATGAAAGTGATTCTTTGAATCGTACGTAGTACAATCTCCTATTCCTTTTTACATCTTGCGTCTTTTTATCGTTACATTGAATCACTAAAGTCATATTGCGATAAATCAATATAGAATATATAATATTTAGCATTTACAATGTCAATAATTTATACTCAATATATATTATTCTTTATAGGCTGTAGCCGCCTGAATACGCCATTGGCAGCCACCACCACGCTGGAGGATCCGGGTACGCCAGCCTCCTGGAAGGGCCCGCCGCCCGGCTCAGAGGCATCGCCCTTTACGCCCAATTCCGTCAGTCAGGGCGGTGGTCCTGGCTCGGGTCCGTACAACAACACGGGCGGTCCATCCAGTAATGCGGGCTTCCAAGGGCCAAGTCCGTTTCCCGGCAGTGCCGGTAGTCCGGCCGGTGCACCGCCGTACCAAGGTCCGCCACCTGGTTCGGCGACTCCGCAATACACCGCCTCCCCCGCGCCGAGCGGTTCCTCGACGCCCGGTCCCGGACCGCCCCCTAACTCCACCGGTTTTCCGCCACCCCCGAATAACACCGGCCCGCCGTACAACGGGCCCGGGCCCAGCCCGTTCGGTTCGCCCTCTGGCGCGCCGCCGCAATTCGTCGGTCGACCAGGCTCCTCGGGACCACCGTTTGTACCACCGGGTGCCGGCAATCCGCACTTCCCCTCGCATGGCCAGCCGTTTGGAGGACCGCAATATGGCATACCACCTGGAAGTCCATTCGGACCGGGAGGTCATCCTATGGCGGGACCCATGGGTCCTGGACACCCAGCGATAATGGGACCTGGCGGACCTGTTGATAGATTGGATCAAGGGTGAGTTTTTACTCCAATTAAGTTGCATGTTTTCAATCCACCAAGCGAGTAATGGTTCTATAATGATATCCGTGTATGTAAAATAATTGTCACGATCAAATACGTAACATTGCGGTTCATAATGTTTGTAGAGAAGATGTTTGCGCTTTTCCTACGCAGACGCGTTAACAGTTTCATAGATATTGAGATATAGAGTCCTTGCTCGCTTTTGCTTTGCATGTGTAATTTATGTTTGGATAACTGATGATCGCGCGACTCGCGCGTTTACAGATCGAAGCAAACAATTAAGTTCGCCCAAGAACAATAACGTGCAAATATTGCTCCTACCGCGAATGCATATGCGATAAAGTTTATTATAAATATTCGCGGACGTTACACATATTATTTTCAATTAAGATACATTTTCTAATTATGTAGAAAACTTTGGAAAGATTTTATGCACCGAGAAATGGAGCGCGATTTGTAGAGAAAGTTGCACGCAGTAGCGGTTACACTAATGATTATTAATCGCAGTGAAAGTTGCCATTATTCTGATTTACAGTAATTTTGGGTTAGAGAATGCAAACTGTTTAGGAAATATCAACGTTAAACTTTACAATCTACATTTTATCGTAGTAAATCAATGGAAACATACACTTTTACATTTGCGGTACATTTACTGGGAAAATTTATTCTACATATAAAATAAATCATATATATATAGATTTTGCGTAAATAATAATTTATAAAAAATGAAAATATTATTAAACATTTAATAATATAATAGCGTGAACTATAATAACACGAGAACAATATTATATAATAATGATATATCCTTTTTATATCTTTAGAAAATTACAGATTTATTATTATTTTTTTTTTAAATATGTTATTTATTTTTTATATTTTCTATAAATTAAATTTTTTCTCTAAAATCCCCCCAAATAGAGAAAGTTAAAGCGTAAAAAGCGCGAAAAAGATTATTAATCTAAAAATTTACATAAATTTCTGAAAACTTAATTTGTATGCTTAAACTTTGATACATACAAGATATATATCCTCATGTAACTGACAAATATGACAGTTAAGAGAAAATTTAAATTTACTCGACATACAATCTTTTTCGGAAAGTCTGGTAGAAACTTTGTTGCGTTCTTCATTATAAAAATCATTCTTTGTATAGTTACATCGTCTTCTTTTCAAATAAATAAAAAAAAAAATATATAATAAAGTGAAGATAAAATAATGGCACGACAATGACATGCGAGACAGGAGAATAAGCGTATACTTATTATTAAACATTTAATAATATAATAGCGTGAACTATAATAACACGAGAACAATATTATATAATAATGATATATCCTTTTTATATCTTTAGAAAATTACAGATTTATTATTATTTTTTTTTTAAATATGTTATTTATTTTTTATATTTTCTATAAATTAAATTTTTTCTCTAGAATCCCCCCAAATAGAGAAAGTTAAAGCGTAAAAAGCGCGAAAAAGATTATTAATCTAAAAATTTACATAAATTTCTGAAAACTTAATTTGTATGCTTAAACTTTGATACATACAAGATATATATCCTCATGTAACTGACAAATATGACAGTTAAGAGAAAATTTAAATTTACTCGACATACAATCTTTTTCGGAAAGTCTGGTAGAAACTTTGTTGCGTTCTTCATTATAAAAATCATTCTTTGTATAGTTACATCGTCCTCTTTTCAAATAAATAAAAAAAAAATATATAATAAAGTGAAGATAAAATAATGGCACGACAATGACATGCGAGACAGGAGAATAAGCGTATACTTTGTCGTTGTGTGTTGACATTCCTAGATAACGTAGTCCACAGGTAGCCGGGTTATTTATTGTTCGTTTTCCGGTCGGTCCGCATTCTTACTGATAGTCCTGCTCGAGCACGCTTGCATTTACCTTCCTTCGGGATCCGTCTTAATCGTTTGCAACGAGTCGTCGTTGTTGCCGTCGTCATCGCTCGTACGCGACAAACGCTCGTATGCTCGACTAACTTATCACGCACTTCGAATCGTTCGTTCACAAATCGCCGCGGCAGCCTGAGACCAAGCGCGTGCGCGCGCGCGCACACGCATACAAGGGAAACGTACGCGGGGTTGCTCGCTCGAACGGCAGAAACCAGTTTTTCGAATAGTTTTGTAACAAGCGTCTGGGACTGTTACGCGACCCGGTTCGATCAGCCGAATGAGGCGGAACATATTATTCGAAATTTCCACGATGCGCGCGATGAAACCGGAATGCGAGATGGATCGCTGAAAAAAATCCGTTACGACTCTAATAGTTATCAGTATATATATATATATATATATATATATATACACACATGCGTGTACACCGGGCTAATATCGTGCTGTAAAACGGAGCCATTTTTAGGTACGGACACGTCCCGTGGAAACCGTGTGGTCACAACGTATAAATTCACTCGTGATACCCACCGAACACTCGCGACACGTACGTTTATACGTGTACTTTGCGTGCATGTGCGCGTCGCATGTGTCCGCGTGCAAGGTGTGGGTGCGAACGCGCGGTGTCGCTCGTCGGTGTACGGGATATTCTAAATTCCGGCAAACCGCCGAACCGATTGCGTCAAACATGCGGACAGACGCGAGTATCGCAAAGAAACGCGACTTTTCGCGTAAACAGTCGATAGATATTGTACAAAAGAAACGTCTTATTTATATATTATATATTATATATATAAATCGATACATTCAAAGTGATAATGACTCACCTAATGTTTTGAAAAATATTTACATTTTATTAGCGATTTTTAAAGGAGAATTTGAAAACGCTTATTATAAAGACTTTACGTCGAAAGTTGAGAAATTGTGCATAGAATTTAAGATCGCTGAAAAAAATCCGTTACGACTCTAATAGTTATCAGTATATATATATATATATATATATATATATACACATGCGTGTACACCGGGCTAATATCGTGCTGTAAAACGGAGCCATTTTTAGGTACGGACACGTCCCGTGGAAACCGTGTGGTCACAACGTATAAATTCACTCGTGATACCCACCGAACACTCGCGACACGTACGTTTATACGTGTACTTTGCGTGCATGTGCGCGTCGCACGTGTCCGCGTGCAAGGTGTGGGTGCGAACGCGCGGTGTCGCTCGTCGGTGTACGGGATATTCTAAATTCCGGCAAACCGCCGAACCGATTGCGTCAAACATGCGGACAGACGCGAGTATCGCAAAGAAACGCGACTTTTCGCGTAAACAGTCGATAGATATTGTACAAAAGAAACGTCTTATTTATATATTATATATTATATATATAAATCGATACATTCAAAGTGATAATGACTCACCTAATGTTTTGAAAAATATTTACATTTTATTAGCGATTTTTAAAGGAGAATTTGAAAACGCTTATTATAAAGACTTTACGTCGAAAGTTGAGAAATTGTGCATAGAATTTAAATGATATAAAATGTATCGAAGTTTTATTCTTTGTTTCTATCTAAAGTTCCGCGAAATGAAACTTGATATTTACTTGATAGTCAAAAAACCTGAGCTTTTGCGTTGTTACTAAAAAAGAGGCTGACTTGATATTTAAGAGAGTATAATTATCGCGAAATATTACATTGATATATAGCATTTTATAACCTTTGACATTTTATGAATATATTCATATGTGTGCGTGCTTTAATGTATTCGATAACGATACTCGATATCGGCGCACTCCGAAAATGTAGCTCAACTTTGAAGGATCGTGTTCGGTAGTACGTCGATGAAGAATGCGAGGGAAGTAGAACAACATCATTAGCGAACGATGCTATAAGCTCTCCTCTATTTTCCCGAGGGGGTTGAAACGAGGTGAGCCGCGAATAAACGTAACTTAAAAAGGAAGTTTTGCTAGCGAAGGCGCGTCACGTGGGTGGTGCACGCATTCATTTCCCGTGGCCTTAGTAAATTAATATTACGAGTCAAATGCCGTTTGTTCTTTCCGGATTAAAATGCACTCGAAATGGTCGACCGGCCTCTTGATGAAAATTAATATCTCGTATTCCAGTGGTGCTATTATGCGCCGCGAGATAAATAACGCTCTCACATTGTGTATCAAATAAAGGTCGCAATTTTTGCAACGAAAATTATTGATTTCTTTTCAACGGATTTTGAATATATATATATATATATATATATATAAAAAAAAAAACGCGTTTAATAAACGTTAAATTTGTTAAGCTAATTAATAAAATATATTGTTTTAAATAATTTTGCCGATTTGATAACGTTGGAATGATTGTTGAACGTTCTCTAAATTTATAACGATAACGATATAAAATTGATTTAATAGCGTATAATAATAACGTATTGAATTATCAGAATTTTTTTCTAAGTGTGAGAATTAATGCGTTAGGAACATAATCGACATCGGCGCACGTCCAGAATGGAATTTATTATAGCCTCGCGGTGCACGGGAGTCGCGCGTGTCATTAATCAGCTCCACCACATCTCGGAGACACGATAGATTGCCTTTAATCATTCTAATTAGCGATATATGCGAAGATTATAAAGTAGTCGAGATGATGATGCGGCGACGCCGCTATTGCAAAGAATTTATGAAACCGAAACGACAAAGTCGATGCAATTTCGCTAACATGAATTTTAATTCACTGTCCACTCTTAATTAACTTACATAAATTATAGGGTAACCCTATATAATTTCGTGGACGTTGAATAATCGTCCACCTGTCACAACTTAAGTTAACACTCTCCTCCTTCTCCCTCTTCCGTCCTAGAGAGCGTATACACGCACTTGGCCGAAGAGGAATGGAGAAATTGCAGTAAGATAAATTAGCTGGGATAAAATGTGTGTCTCTACCTCTCTTCTTTCCCCCAACCCCCTCTCCTCCCCGTTATAAGTATCTCCGCTGCATTGTCCGAGAACGAAATAAAATAAGTATCTCGTGAACTTTTGGCATGGTTTGTACAGCGCGAGGTGACGCGGACTTTTGTACAG